TTTTTTATTAATTACTGAATATTTTTAAAATTTATTGAACATTTTTTTCTCAAATTTCTATCATATCTTATGAATTTCTAAAACCAAATATATATATATATATTTGGCGGCTTTATATTCAATAATATTTTACCGGAATTTAACATATTGCGTTAATATTGACCAAATGATATTTTAGAAGATGTACTTCAAGATTACTTTGCTCACTATCTCAATAGATGTCTAAGAACTTGAGTATTAGGTGAAAGCACAAGGATGACCTTATAAATTTAATGATATGACCAAAATGCCTCTTAATAATGTGGTTTGTTGCGTGCCGGACTAATTTTCCGGTGAATTTTATAGTCTCCGGCAAATTTGGATTGCCACTTTAACAAAAGTGCTCAATTAAGGTTGTTATTTATCAAAATAAAAAGATTAAGTTGCATTTTTATAAAAGAGACAAAGATCAATGGTCTAAATTTTTTTCCTCGGTAAATAATTCAATTTCTACTTTCTTTTTAATAGGGAGGGTAATTGTCCGGTTCAACCTGACAACCCGCACAGTGTCATTCGGGTCAAGACACCACGCCCAAGTCTCCGTCTCTTTTCAGGTAAAAAAAAAATTAATTTTGGTTCATTTACTTGTTTAATTTATTTTTTTTAGTATACTAACTTTTTCTTCACTAATAATAATACGTTATGCTGCAATTTGTATCATTTTTTAGACATTACTAATCAAAAACAGTACCTTATATTGTAATTTGTAATATTTTAAAGATATTAATCCCAAAAGATAATGAAACATGTTCAAGATAATGTAATATAACGTACTATTTTGTGTACCAAAAATTGAATTTAGACTAATAAAGGGACCAAAATGGATTTTTTTTTGCCTTTATCTGTCTCCCCCCTTTTAAAAGAGTGGACTTCACAACTATTACCTCATAAAAGGTGAGGGTCATAAAAGGTAAGGGTTATTAGATAGAAAGAAAGAAAAAGAAAAAAAAAAAGAAAGACAGGTGTTCCTTTTTTTCATTTGTCATTTTAATTCGATAAAACAATCATAAAAGAAGGGTGTGCCGCCTGTGTGAAGCTGAAAAGCTTAAAGCTGAAAGAGAGCCTTTTCTTTTCTTTTTTTTTTTTGATATTATATTAACTTCTCCCTTTTTTCTTCTTTCCATGGTTAATTGTATTTGTATATTCAGTAGTCCCATCCTCATCTCTTTGTGCGAATTTTAATTGCGATTTTCCTCCATTTTTTTTTTTTTCCGCTAATGTTGAGCAACACCAATATCCCCTCTCCTTCTTCCGACAACGGCGGCCCCAGCAAACGAAAACGCCGGCCGGCCGGAACTCCAGGTTTAATTTCTCCATCTCCGCCGATGATTGATCACGATGAATTTTAATTTTATTTCGAATTTTGATTTTAATTGAATTAATTTTGTGTGGAAATAATAGATCCGGATGCTGAGGTGGTGTCGCTGTCGCCGAAAACCCTACTGGAATCGGACCGGTACGTGTGCGAGATCTGCGGCCAGGGATTCCAGCGGGACCAGAACCTTCAGATGCACCGGCGGCGGCACAAGGTTCCGTGGAAGCTCCTGAAGCGGGAGACGGCGGTGGCCAGGAAGCGCGTGTATGTATGCCCGGAGCCGAGCTGCCTCCACCACGACCCGCGCCACGCGCTGGGCGACCTCGTCGGGATAAAGAAGCACTTCCGGCGGAAGCACAGCAACCAGCGGCAGTGGGTCTGCGCAAAGTGCTCAAAGGGCTACGCCGTACAGTCGGACTACAAGGCCCACCTCAAGACCTGCGGCACCCGAGGCCACTCATGCGATTGCGGACGGGTTTTCTCAAGGTCCGTTTGATTCATTTAAGTAAATTATATCCAGGAATAAATTAAAAATAAAAATAAAAATAAAAAAAAAATCATTGTAATTTCGTTTTCCTTAGGAATTAATTAGTCTTGTTTTTTTTCTTGTAATCAGTGCAAGAATGTTTTTTAGTTTTAAATCTCTCTTTCTTCTCTTCTTCTCTCTCGCTCAG